GCCAGGGAGGTGTGCTGTGTCACTGCCAGGGGACAGCAGCAGCACCAGGGGCTTTGCCCTCTGCCAGCAGCTGCTGTGCCAGCAGTGTGCCAGCAGCTCCTTCCCAGGGAGCTGCAGCTCCTCAGCAGCAGGTTAATTAGCAAAATGTTTAAGGATCTGATCTAGAGCTTAATTGTGTTGTGTGCTGCTGAAAGTGGCACTTCAGTGCTGCCAGGTGGGCCTGTAGCAGGTCAAAGGTGGCCACTGCAGTCAGCAGGAGTCCCATTTGCATGTCAGAGTATTTTTGACAGGTTTTTCTTTTTTACAAGCATTTGCTTTTTATTATTTTCAACAAAATAAAGCATATAGCATACAGTGTTTTCACACATTTAGGAGATAAATAAGTGTATCTTGAATTAATACCATGATAACATATGTAATACAAAGTTATTTCTTCATTGATTTTAATTTAAATACAGCTTGTTTGCCTTTTTTTAAAAAACAAACTTTTATTGTGTTACATTTCCCTTGTTAACTTACAGATGTTTAAATAACAACTGGGAAAACACAGTGATGTGTATTGCTAGAGATAAAAAGTTGCTCTGTTAGGATGAAACCTGTATATCAAGTTACCAGCCTGTAAATTAAAATACCCAACACATTAAATGAATGCTCTCACTTGAACTGATAAAGAAAACCTTAAGAGAATAACAAATACTTCACCTCCAATTTGTTTGTAGAATAATAAGAAAATAATCCTGTTTTTGTATTTCCACACTGATTGGTTTGCATATTAATTTATCTTCTACTTGTTTGCAATTACAAATAAATAGAGGTATAAAGACAAAATCTCATACTGCCTTCCCTTGAATTTACCAGCTACAGTAGATGCACTTTTAAAATCATAAATACATTTCCATTCAACTTCATCAAATACCACAGGACTAACTTCATGTGCTCAGTTTCATGCTGCATAGCTGAGAAAGGAGAAAATCTGGTGGCACTTGGTATCTTTAATGGCACTTCTTTCAGCAAAGGAGAGGATGCAATTGTGTCACTAGCCAGGGTCACCCTTCAAACCAGTCCCTTACAATTGGCCTGACAAATACATGGAGCACTAAGTAAAGCAACAACTGCTGTGCTGTGTGCCAGCCTTAGCTGATGGTGCAAGGATCATCGTGGCTTGATTTCATTTCCCCTTCCAGCAGCAAAGTGATCACAGCCTTGCTCAGGTAGCTGCAAGTTCCCTTCTTTCCAAGGGGGTGGGTGTTGTAGAATGCAGTCATGTCCCCCTGCAGAGGGAACAGAGGCTGCCATTAGTGTGAATGTGCAAAGCAGCCACACACAGGCAAACCAGAGCAACATCAGAGATGTTCAAAATGCAAATGTGCTTTTTGGACTCTAAAACTAGAGAATAATTCTGCTCAATTTTCAGAAATCTCCCATATGTACTTACCTGCTTCTCCTTCCTCACTGAGTTTTCCAGGACTGCACAGATTCCACCTTCTTAGCATTTCTGAAAATGTCAGAGCTGTCAGAGAACAACTGCTCTGCTGAAACATGCAGCTGTGTGGTGGAATGGTGAGCCAGGGCCTTGGGTGTACATGAGGTGTAAACTGACTGAAGATTTATTCAGAAGGAAAGAATCCAAGATCCAAACCACAGGTAGCACATGAACTCATTCATTAATCAGATCACCAAAATAGGTGTCCTTCACTGAACACCTGTTTTTCTCAGTCAGTGACATTAAAACACCTGCTTACTCTCAAATTATGTATTAGCTGCTCTAAAAAAGGTTTAATGCCTTCATTCAGGAAATTGGTTACTTTTACTAAATCAAGGGCAGAGATTGTGTGGAGAAAATAATAAAACTTCTGTAGTTTTAGGGTGTGTCTGAACTTACTAGAATAAATACTTTGGATATTTATTACATGTTAACAGGGAATCAACAAAGTTCAAAGTATTTGCAAATCCATTGAAGGGAAGACCATAGTTGAGAGAGATCAGGAGTTTTTAGCAGTGTTAGGAAACCTTGAGGCAGCACCCTAAGAACAATCCCAGCCAGGGTTACAGCTACTGACTGCCAGCAGGGATCCACCTGGGAATATGGGAGAGCCAGGTGCCAGAAAACTTTAATGCAAGGAGCTGAATTTCCAACAACAATCTTAAATATTACTCCGAGCTCTGAACTGGGGGCTCTTTCTAAGAGACAAAAAGGCATTACTGTAAGTGAGTCTGGGCTTGGAGAAAAAAAATTTATCAGTTCAACAGAGGCCAGGGCAGCACCAGTAAAAACTGAGGTTTGCATGGAATTTCCCTTTCTGTTTGTAGCCATTGGGGATTTGCAGCTTGTCACAAAAGTCAGCAGCAAATTCCAAATTCCAGGTGCTGTGTGGAGCTGGCACTTGAGAGCCATTTGGGTGTATGATGGCCACAGAGTCACTGCCCTCCAACATGGACCAGAAGGATCATCACTTCCAGGAAATTGTTCTTTTCTAAACAAAGGCCTTGTGCAGATTGACCCACTGCTGGGGCTGCCTATCGGCCGGGCTTTCAAATCTTAGTACAAAAAATCAGTGGCACAAGAGTGAGCATTGAAACATTTGAAAGAGCTCTTAAGCAGCACATCCTTCCTCATCTTTTAAAGGATATAAAAATTCAGCAAGAGGAAGGGCTGCTGCATGTCAATGTTATGAATCAATACATCCTTCAGGGCTAGCATAGACAACTTCAAATATATTGTCCACAATAAAATGCCAGCTGCAGTGAGGAGGATCATCCTCAGTAGCTCTGGGACTGTTCCCACTGTTCTACTCTCATCTCCTCCTTCTACCAGGCCAATAAACCTGGCTTTATTACAGAATTTCAGAGCTTTGAGGCACCAAAACTTGTAGTGAGACTATCCAGAGATCTTTAAAGCATAACACCTATAATTCTAGTGAAGAAAATATTAAAAGCATTTATTCCTTTATTTGAATTTTAGCCAAACTTTTGCCAGTTCATGAATGTAAATCTAACAGAAAAATCAGTAACTAAGAACAGTTCTGTATCTCAAGTTCTTACTTTAATACTGTCAATATGAATTCTTTGTTATTAAAGTTTTCTTAGTCTCTGTGTTCATAAGATCCTAAGTTCACACTTCCTTGCTGAACTTTAGTTTCCTTTGTTATTTTTAACTCTTCTCAGTTTTAGTGCCCCTCCTTAATGAATCCTTTCCCCTTTGAGGAGAACTCTCCCAGCTCCCTGCTAGTCCCATTTCAGAGCCATGGAACACAGAGTATTCTCCTTACTGTAGCATTTTGAATTTACAACTCAGCAATAAAGTGCACCTCTTTCATCTCTGCTTAGAGGCTCTTTGCAGACCTAGGCAGCACTTGGGTATATTAATTTCTTATTTGTGTTCCATTCTGAACTTCTGTCAATTGCTTTTTACTCTGAACTGCACAGAATTAACATTTAGAAGTAACTTCAATAAGAATGGTAAATTTGGTAAGACAGCAATATTTTACTCACTTGATTTTCAGCTCCCTTTGGACTGCTGTGATCTTTCTGAAAGTCATGAAATGCTTCTTGCACCACCTTGTCCAAATCCACTTTGTCCTGGAACTCTAGCTCAGGATTTCTCTCCAGAATAACAGATATAACCATCAGCAACTAGAAGGCAGAAAAAGATTGTAAGGCTTTAAATTTCATTTTTTAAAATTCAAGTTACATAATAGCACTGTTAGTAATTGCATATGCCTCTTTCAAGCAGGAAGCCATTTAATAATGGCACAGGTAATAATGCACAGATAATAGAATCCTGACTTGGATAAAAGAATCACTGGAAAAGCAGGCTTTTAGCAAAGGTTACAATTGCTGGTGACTGCCTGGGTAAGGGCATGGTGCAAATGATGGACATTAACATCCAGCTTGGCTGGGAGCCAGGGAAGTTATTTTCCATTTTATTCAGTTCACTCTGTGCCTGCACAAATCCTGTGGAGAGAGTGAAAGGCAGCAAACACTGAACCTCAGCATTTGGTGTTCTGAGGCACAATCACAGATGCTAAAATTCTGTTATGACAAAGTTTATCAAAACCAAAGAGAACAGCCAGCAGTAAAGCCTCAGCTCATCAGAACTGATGTTACTTACATCTGAAAAGGGTTTAAAATAGGAAGGTGAACATGAAGAGTGTTCTGTTGTAACACCTGCAGGCAAGCAGTGGAGTCTGCACTGGTCACCATGGGTTTGGGAATTCTGTTATCTGTTAGCAGAAACTGGGGGTGCTCCAGCAAGCAGGCTGAGCACGAGCTGAGGCAGAGTCTGGGGTGGGATGTTCCTGTGAGGGGCACAGACCTGGGCACCAACAGTGAGTGCTGCTGAAGGTACCAGTACCAGCAGTGCAGTGCTCCTCATCTGTTCCAAAGGCAAACCTTGTGTGCACTGGGGGAAGGATTTGAACAGCACTGGGGGAAGGATTTGAACAGCACTGGGGGAAGGATTTGAACAGCACTGGGGGAAGGATCTGAACAGCCTCCTGCCCTCCTGTGAGGATGGGGAACACAAGGAAATGGGAAGGTGGCTGACTCAGTAGTGCAAAGCTGCTCACTAGGCAGCCTCAGCACAAAGGGAAAGAAGAATCGTTCAGGGGGCAAGCTGGTTATTTTATTTCAGTTTTCCTTAGAGCTGGGAAATTGTTAGGAAAAGGCACAGGCTAAGGACTTGAAGGAAAGCTACTCTGGAATTATTAGATTTTTACCTCCTCTGACCTAATTGTATTGCTAGTGTCATTAATATTTGCTGAAGGGGAAGAACACCATGAACTCACTCTGTTCTGAACATGTAACAGGAACCTGTTTAATCATCAAAACCTCTGAAGTAAGTGTTTCTATGGAAAATCCTGTTTCTTCAGATATTTGAGTCTAGGTTATTTTTTTGTTTTAGGCTGTAACATACTAATGCACAGTATAAAATGTCAGTGATTATTGGCCACAGACCTCCACAATGATCTGCCTGTATTGAGGCTGGTCAATGTTCTGCAGCATATCTTCAACGAGGAGGGAAAAGTTCATTTCATACATCGTCATATCCGATAAGGTTGGTTGCTGAAAAACAAACCATACTTTTATTAAAAGACCACATGCATTAAATCAAAGCCACCCCCAGGCAGAGCCTACTGGCTTGCTGAACAAATAATATTCAACTAAGAAATAATAACCTTTTTGTAGGATCAAAAAGGGAGCAGATTTCAGAGTTCATGACTTGGAAAGAATCTTCTACACTTACAGTTTTATAAATGTGCTTTAATAAAAATTATTTGCTTTCATTCCATTCCAATTGTATTTTACTCCTAATGAAACAGAAAAACTTGGATTTTTTTCCCCAATGAACAAGTTACTCTAAGTAAAACATGATGGCACAAATAGCCATTAGTGACAAAGTGTTTGACCATTGCTGGGCAGGTGGAAGAGCAGGGGCTGAGCCTGTGTGGGGTTACCTGGGGCAGGAACCTCCCTGCCACGATGAGGCCGTTGGGGGTTCTCTCCAGGATCTGCCACACGCGGTCGTAGAATCCGGCGGGAGTTCTGTTCAGGGAGCCATCCAGCTGCCTCCTGTTCAGCCAGCTCCTGGGGACACAGCAGGGACAGCTCAGCACAGCTGCACTCCCAGCCTGCCAGCCAAGCAGGACACAGCACAGGGCTCAGCATGCACAGGGCACAGGGGCACCCCTGGCACTGCACAAGGAGCAGCAGCTCTGAAATCCACCCAGTAACAGATCAAATTCATAACGTCTAATCAAATAAGAAAAATGCATTGCAGCAGAATTGTTGAGGGCAGGGGTTTTTCCTGATGGTCTGCAGAAAACAAGTGGTCTGCAAATTGAGAAGATTCAACAGGATGGTTTTGTAAAACTAAGGCTTTGAGCAAACTGATTCACATCTTCATGAATCACAAATCCTGTTTGCCTTCAGAAGTATACCAGCTTTTTTCTTTTTTACTTATGCTATCAAGTATGGAATTTAATTTTCCTATTTTTTCTTCTCAGTGTTACTACAGGAATGAAGCTTTAGCCAAAATGTTTAAAACACCAGCAGTGGAACTTGAAGAACTGGCATCCATGGGTATGAATTAATTACTGGATTCACCAGGTAAATTTAAGTCTTGTGTGGCTGTCCTGAATGTATTTGACAGAGAGGACTTTCTCAAGTGAATTAGTCCTTAGATGCTTTTTGAATTTTAAGAAGAAAAATCAATACACATTATTTTTTAGAAAAACTACAATTAAATTCCTGCTTTGCAACATGCCTCCTGCCTTTCTGAGATCTGGTTCTGGTAGGCTGCTTGGAAAAAAAAAAAAAAAAAGGGAAATTCCCTGGTCAACTTGAACAATGTTGTTTTGCAGACCTTTCTCAGCCTGGCTCAAATGAATTCAGCACTAATAACCTTGGGGGTTTAGCTTTTGCTCCATATGTACTGGGAGATTAACATGACATGCTTAGAATAAAAACACTTGTCTATAAAATTATCAGTTCCTGCAGACACCAGTGTGCTGGATGAAATTGCTAAAATATCTTGCATTAAAAAACTCTTATTAAATACTGGAGAAATTGTGAGAATTCCTCCTGAGATACAACCAGTAAAGAAAACACTAATTCTGACAGCTGCATGCATGGTTTTACAGTTAAGTTTCTTAGTGTAGTTCAGTCCCAGCTACACCACAAGACAAAGCAGACAATGTGCTGGTTTAGGTTTTTTCTGTGTTTTGTTTTGTTATTTTTTTTTTTAGAATAAAATGGAAAAAATTATCACTAGGTGGTGCATTTTCTGAGCAGGTTTGAGCTCTAGGTAATTGGGATACACTTTCTGAGAACAAAGGAGATGTTTAAAGTTAACCCTATAAAGCCAGGGCTAAGCCAACATGCAATGTGGGCTCTTTCCCTGTATAACTGTATTGGATAAACATGGCAAGGTAAGAAAAAATTTCTCATAAATCACCTCTCAATTAAACACTAAACTACCAAATAGTTGTGTCTACTATGGCAGTTTCATCTTATTCTCTGTACAGCTCTGTCCTTGGATTAGGATAAGAAAGCTTCCATAAAAGCAAAAAGACCAGTGGTGTATTAAAAATAACAAGTTGTGGTGTATTAAAAATAACAAGTTGTTTTCTTAATACAAAAAAGAAGAATTTGAAGATGTCAAAAATGCTCTGACCCACCTACATTAATAGGGTCAGGAAGAGAGTCTTGCAAACTGAATAAGCAAAGTGAGTTTCAGAACTGTTTGGACCATTAAAAGAACAATGCTCTGTTTAAAAAGAGTTTCTTGCACTCTTGTGAGCCACATAAATAGATTAAAAAGTGTAATCTGTGGAGTCTGTGCTGCAAAAATGTCTTCTGTGAAAACTTGGAGAGAGGTTAGTTGTGGAGAGACTGTTAGGGAGGTAAACAGACCACTAGCCCTTTCTGTATGACAAATTAATTGGCAGTGAGCTATGGTACCACATTACCGGAGATTTTTTTTTTTCCTAAAAACATCACAAGAGTAGGAAAAACTGTCCTCAAAAAGAAAAAAAGAAAAGGAGGAGGAAAAAGAAAAGGAGTACTCTGTATTTCCTGTCAGGAAGAAAACTTGTAAAAACAAGTCACTAATGGGCAAGGAAAAACGAGTTAGCAATACTGTACGGGAAGAAGTTAGAAAAGAAGTCAGAAGATTGAAAGATTTGAAGGATATGCTGGTGAGTTTTTGTACTCAGATAACCCAAGAAAGAATCCTCATGCTCAGAAACTCAAGCCAGTGCCCTTCAGTGACCTACCCTGTGTGTTACAGGCATCAAAAGCAGCAGCTGCTGTGGAGTGCAGGTAAAATCTGTGACAAAAGGTGGTGCTTGAATTCCTTACTGAGACTGAGCAAGTGCTTCCTGAAGAGCATTAGCACTGAATGGAGAATGCTGCAAAAGGCTCTGCTGTGGCTCCACAGGACTGTGGCAGCACCAACACGAGCAGAGGCAGCAGCAAGGGCTGCTCAGCACAGCCAAGGCTCTGCAAAGCACCTGGGAGATGCAGAACAGAGCCCGTGGCACTGAGAGATGAGGCAGTGACTGAAGGAGCTCCTTTCTCAGGGATTGCAGACTGGGACAGACACAGGTGTGTTTTCAATGAAGCAGGAACATAAACAGCAGGAAGTGTGCTGTAATTCCTCTTTGTTGAGAGGAAAAGCCCATCACCCATTCAGTCAAGGACTATGGAAATTATCAGCAATATTATGTGCCAAAGTTTAATTTAACCAGAAGTAAAACCAAGAGGAAAAGTTTTGACTTCACTCTTATCAATAAAGTTAAGCGGAAATATTGCAATTTTAACTTTTGTCTTGCATACCTGGTATCACAATGAATGTTCTTTTTGCAGCTGGTTACAGCTTGGAGAAAAGATTCCAACTTTCAGGCAGTACCACTGTCTTTTAAGAATTCTAGAGAACATCTGCTCTTACTCATATAATAACCTAGAAGAAAGCAGGCACTGAACAGATAAACTGTTCCTCCAAGTCACCTAAGTCAAGGTACTGGGTAATTTTTGGATTCTTTTCCCACATCAAAGAGTGTAACAGTCCACATTATAGCAGACAGATCTCTATTCTCTGGCAGTAAAGAGATTTCCACAAAGATAAAGCTGAAAAGGCAATATGCAATAGAAAAGAAACAATTCTATAACCTGGGCCCATGTGAAAGAATGAAAAAGTGCTTTTTTGCTATCTTCCCTTTAAAAATGACAGATGATTACAGATGCCTGGTGATTTCAGGTGCACACAGAGCAGCTGAGGAATGAAATGCACTTAAACATGAGTGGATGAGCTGAGGAGCCCCAGCTGAGCCCCCGTTACCTGCCCGGCTGCTGGGGCTGCAGAATGTCCAGCAGGAGCTGCTTCACCTCGCTGGGGGACATCTGGTACAGGTCCTTGGCTGGCATCTCCCCAGCCCTGATCTGCAGCTCATACTTCATAGCATGGATAATCCATCTGCACAGGGAGAGGAATAGAGTTAGTCATTAAATACAAAGTTTCCAAATAGGAAAAATTAGTCTAATAAAACAGCTCCTAAGAATTCCACACAATCCTGCTATTTGGCTGTCAGGACTTGCATAAAATATCAGACAAATATTCTCCTACTCTTCCTGTTTGATTGGAACATGATACAAGCTGAAAGGGATAGTGCAATTAAGAAATGCGTTGTGGACCATGTTTTCCATAGAGAAGATTGATTGGACTACATTCCCTGTATTCCATGTTCATTAAAACCAACATTTACCTGCCTTTTGATGTTAAAATTCCTATTCAGAATTATGCTCTGCCTATATATGCATTTTGCTGATGAGTTTTAAAAAGCCATAAAATTTACAATATTTTACATTTACCAAGACTTCGGGGCTTATTTCTAGTTTTAGCCTTTGAAATTCAATTTTGCAATCTATCACACTTTCTTTTTCTGCTCCTTTTTGAAAAAAAATTTGATTCAATAAAAATATAGCAACAGCGAAGATTTTTAGCCTGAGGTATCAGAGGGGCAGAACTTGGCAAAGTGTTGAAGGAAAATGCTGAGTTTTATTGTGCACATTATGTAAAAGCAGTGCTTCACCTCTGATGCAATATCAAAGATGAAACAGGGTACATCAGAAGCCAGAGAAGCACAGAGCTCAGCTCTTACCCTCTCCACTGGTTCAGTTCCAGCAGGCATTCCTAGCAAAAGGAAACTGAACTAGCTTTTCTTCAAACAGACCATAACAGCTGATCAAGGCTTGGGTACATCAGAGCCTTTCTGTGTTTATCTCCAAATGCAGTGAGAGATTCAGGCACCACATTCCATGGTCATTTACCCGTTCAGCTACCCAGGTGCAGAATGTTTCTGCTTACATAAGTCAAGTCACACTCCTTCCTAGGGAGTTCTTAGGAACTACACACAATTTGGAGATGCCTGGCCAGCTGATGCAGTGTTGATTACATCTGAGGTTTCCAGGACTGTGGGATGCAGGTGCAAGATACCAGGGAGTATTGAGGTCCATTACATTTGCAGAACACGCTACTTTCATTTAATTTAGCAGGTGACGAGCCCTTCTCTTGTTACTGAGATGAACAACACAGCTGGCTCAGGAGTTCTTTCCCCCTCGTGCCTCAGCTGTGTCTGTGTGTCAGTCCCTCACTGGTGTTTTCCCTTTGCAGTGGCCTGCAAGCCACACCAAAGTCAAGGGTGGACCTTCTGCTGAGCTCTTCACTGATAAGAGGTGAATTCAAGTCACTTGGCTGGGAGTTTTTACAGTAATAGGGCTGTCAGAAACTTGATCTATTTCAACATGAAACCCTGAAAACAAATCAATAACAAGACACTAAATCAAATCATTATCAAACTGGAACGGCATTTCTGTGAGAAGGTTAATTTTGCTCACTGGAGTGGGTGATAACACTGAAATAAAGGAAATTGAATCTCTAGCATTAACCTTGGGAGAAAGAAAAAAAAATTGCAAAAAGGATTAGCTACAGAGAATAAGGAAGGGGAGGAAAGAGGAGTAACATGGATCTGTGGAGGGGACAGAAAAGCATTTAAGTGCAAAAGGATACTTCCAGTTAAATGTAATACAGGCAATTTTTTGTTTTATGGTGACTGGAATGTACTGCTAAAGAAGAAATATGAATCTTGTATGCTAGAAAAAAGGCTGCTGGTATCTACCTCCACTGCTGAAATGCTGTATTTTTCTCTATGGAAAAAAATATGGAAGATGAAACACTTAAGTTCTGATTCTAAAGCATGCTCAGTGATTCAGTAAATCTCAGTCAGTAGCACCTGGCCTCTTCAAAGAAGTGCTTATTCAAATGCATGTCTCTTCCTAAATGTGAAAAAAATAATTAACTTCTGTGGGTAGCAAAGTAAGTGCAGATACATGGAATGTGACAGCACTCCAGCACAGCCTGTCTGTAGGTCACCTTGTCAAAGAACAAAAGAGAACAGCTGGGAGGTAGATGATTGTAGTAAACCCCTCAGGTTTAGCCAGAGCCCCTTGGAGAATAGAATGCTGACACAGCAGCAAAGAAGTTTCCTGTCTCCAGGGACATCCGCCTTGTACCTTATCCCTATAGCCATGTGAGGCAATATTGTGTTAAACCCTACCATTGGTCACTTATGGTCACTCTAACACCTTTGCCATTGGTCAGGATTGGATCCAGGCCAAGGGTATAAAAGTAGCATCCTGTACCCCTACTAACTGGGAAGAAGAAGAGCTGAGACCCTTCCCGGACCCTCCAATAAAGCCACACTCGTGGAACAGCCAGCGTCTTCTGCTTCTCCTCTCTCTACTGTCTGCTGGAGCCTTAGGCCAAGGGAAAAGCTACCTAGCAAGCAAAGCTGAAATCACAAGAGCTGCCTAATCACTAAGAGCTGAATATCTCCCTGCTTGCTAGGGGCTGACCCGCGGCCTTGGTCTGAGAGCGAGCTGGCTTCCAGCACCCAGTCCCCTTGGGGACTGAGCTCTGGAGCTGTAACAGCTTGCATAGGATAAGACCAAGCAAGGCTCATTTAGATGATGGTTGAACCTTGACTCAGGTTTGTGGCTCTCTGAAGTCTCCATTCCCCTGCTTTACTGACCCAATCCGTATCTTCAGCATCCCACTGAAGAGCTCTGGGGAGTTGGAGATGATCCAGCCAATGTGGATGACCAGCTCCTGCTGCAGCACAGCCTCTCTCTCGTCCTGCAGCCGGCGTTTATCATAGATCATGTCCTTAATCACGGCGGGTGATAAGGGGTTGGAGATAACGGCTTCCTCCTGGCCAAACGCTCCCAGCGTCACCTGCGGCACAGGAAACAGCTCACAGGCTGGGGCTGCAACAGCAGCACTGCAAAGCAATTCACAAACTCAACTTTCCTTTGCTTGTGAAAAGTTTCACAATGCAAGGGTGATTTTATGTCAATGGCTGATGCTTGTTAATACTGTTAATTGGTTGCTATTGGAAGTAATAAACTTCAATAACAACCACAGTGAATATGGAATCTATTTTTCCAAATTAAAATAAAAATACAAGACCACTGCTTTATAATCAGGTTATAATCAGGACTGTACATTAGGTTTAGACAGTTATATAATTTCATACATT